TGTGTGTGTGTATGTATATATATATATATATCCACACCCAGATGGTCCAGTCTTTTAATAAAATTACTACCTAGGTTCTCTTACTTTCTTACTTGCTTTGCTTTACCATTAGTAAAAGCTAAGCATATTGGAATAATTGTCAATCAAGAAATCAGAAAGCTTTTCTGTGATATATGGTATTTAATATGAATAGTGGATAAGAAAATATGATGTTAGAAACTTAATCTAATAGTTTCTGTGATTGCTCTTAATGGTTGTCTTTATTTCATTCTCTTTCTAGACAGTTGAACCAACTGGAAAGCGTTTCTTGCTGGCTGTTGATGTCAATGATTCTATGAACCAAAGAGTTTTGGGTAGTGTACTCAATGCTAGTGCAGTGGCCGCTGCAATGTGCATGGTGAGAGAACTAAAACAATCTAGAATTGTTTCTAAAGAAGTGTTTAAAGTTAAAATATAAAACTAAAGTTGTATATTATAAAGAAGTATATGTTAACTTATTTGGCACATTTTTCTGCCCTTTTATATTAAAGAAAAATTTAAATGTAATTTATTGAAAAAGCAAGTATAAAATACTGTAAGAATGGAAATTTTAATTTTTATAACCAAGGATTAAATATTATTAGTATTTTTGAGAAAGTAGATAATGCTTAGAAAACTTACTCAGTGAATATAAAAGTTTTTCTGAAAGATCAAGGATTGTGTCAGAAAACCACAGTTCTAGTCTAGCTGTCACTGAATAGATAAATCAGAGACAAGCTTCTTAGCATTTCTTTTGCGACTTTGTTTCTTAATAAAAATGAGAATAAAATATATATTCAGTTTGCTTCAAATAATTATTGTAAGGTTCAATTTCTCTATAAAAATTTATGAAAGTACTTTGAACTATTACCATATAGCTCCAAGCTAAGATACTTTAGTTATAGTAATAACATAAACGTAAGAGTGCTTCTCTGAAAGTTGAGGTTTTATGAACTTAGCCTGTAAAAGCCAGAACCTGGATAAGGCATAACTGTCAGAGGTGGTGGTGGTGGTGGTGGTGTGCTATGGTGTCAGTTCCAACTCATAGTGACCCTATGAGTGACCTCATCTTGCTCCCATGGATTGGCTGGTAGTTTCAAACTGCTAACCTTGAGGTTTGCAGTCCGACTCATAACCACTACACTACCAGAGCTGGAAAACTTTTTTTCCACTTTGAAGAGCATTAAAAAATTGCTAAGACTGCACCCTGTCAAAAGCGGAAACCTTGCAAGAACCAGAAAAAAAGGCAATTTTATTGAGTTCTGGCTCTTACAGGTTTTGCTGTACTGTTTGCGTTTCCTCAGAATCTGCTAAAAATTACTACCATTGAATTTTTCAGGTTGTCACACGGACAGAAAAAGATTCTTATGTAGTTGCTTTTTCAGATGAAATGGTGCCATGTCTCATTACTGCAGATATGACCTTACAAGAAGTCTTAATGACTATGAATCAGGTAAGAAACTAATTTATTAAAACATTCCATAATAATTTTGTATAAATAATTTCTAAGAACAAATTGTTTTATACAGGCTTTGTGAAGACCAGTATATAGGCTCTGAACAAAAAGACAATTAAGTATTATTATGTAAACTAGAATATTTATTTTTATTCTTGATATTTGTTTTTTGATGGGTTTTGTTTTCTGAATTAGATCCCAGCAGGTGGTACTGATTGTTCTCTTCCAATGATCTGGGCTCAGAAAACAAATACAGCTGCTGATGTCTTCATTGTATTCACTGATAATGAGACTTTTGCTGGAAGTGTCCATCCTGCTGTTGCTCTGAGGGAGTATCGGAAGGTAAAATGAATACTGTCTTTTTCTCAACCTCAGATAATATCAAATTTCTCAAATAATCACTATCTTTTTTTTAAAATGTTGCTAAAAATAGTTCTATAGTTTTTGTAAGAGCCCAGTGCAGGCTTTCGATTCAGTAGTGCTTGAAATAAGGGAACATATAATGTTTTTCAACCAGTTCCACTAATATATATTATTAATATCCTTTGCAGACAGTATTTTTTGTAATACTCAACAGAAATAAGTGGTTTACCAAATTATTCCATCCTGATTGGGTGGAATACATAGGAATGAAATAGACTACATCTGTGGAAAGAGATGATGGCGAAGCCAGATAGCATCAGTCAGAACAAGACTAGGGGCCGACTGCAGAACAGACCATGAACTGCTCATATTTCATTTCAAGTTGAAGCCTAGAAAAATTAAAGCAAGTCCATGAGAGCTGAACTACAACTTTAAGTAAATCCCAACCTAAATTCAGAGACCATTTTAATAACAGATTTGATGCACTAAACACTAATGAACAAAATGCAATACAAGTTTTGTGTTGACATCAGAACATCCAACATGAAGAAAACAAAAGGTCATTTAAAATATTAAAATGGATGTCAGAAGAGACTCTGAAACTTTCTCTTAAATGAAATGAATGGAATAAATGATAAAGTAAAAGAGCTGAACAGAATATTTTAAAGGGCAGTTCAAAGACAAAGTAAAATAGTATAATGAAATGTACAAAGATTTGGAGTTAGAACGCCAAACGTGATGAACATGCTCAAAAATTCTCAAGCTGAAAGAACTGAAGAAAAAAATTCAAGCCTCAATTCCAGTATTGAAGGGTTCTTTAGGCAGGACAGTGAAAAATGCAGAAAGCATTGAAAGAAAATGGAAGGAGTACACAGAGTCACTGTATCAAAATGGATTGTCAGCATTTATCCATTTCAAGAAGGAGCTCTGGTAGCGTAGTGGTTACGAATCAGGCTGTGAACCGCAGGGTCAGCAGTTCGAAACTACCAGCGGTTCTGTGGGAGAAAGATGAGGCGTTCTGCTCCTGTAAAGATTTACAGCCTCGGAAACCCTGTGCAGGATCGCTATGAGTCGGAACAGACTCCACGGCACTTAACAACAACAACAACAACATCCATTTCAAGAACTGATAATACTGAAGGAAGAAATCTAAGGTCATTGAAGTCATTTGATAAAAAGCAGGGCTCCAGGAGTTGATAAGATTCTAGTTGAGATGCTTCAACAAACGAATGTTTTTTTAAGGTCTTCTATGTTCTAAACAGTGCTCTTCCAAACGCTCTTCGAAATATCTGCACTGTCTAATATAATAACCATTAGCCACAGGCAGCTGTGGAACACTTGAAATGTGGCTAACATGATTGAAAGTAGAACAACAACTTGTTAATGAAGAGCAGTGGCTCTCGGTGTTGTTCTCCTCCAGCAACATTAGTATCACCGGGACCTTATTATAAATGCAAATTTCTGGTCACCATCAAAGTCCTGCTGAATGAGAATTATGGAAATGGGACCTCTGCAATTTAACAGTCTACCAGGAGACTTTAATGCACATATGACTTTAAGAACCACAGATGAAAAGACTAGATTTTGAAGTCAACTAGGTTCCATGTCCTGTATCTGTGTCTTATACTAACTTAGGTTTTGAGCAAATTACTTAACTGATATAGGTCAGGGTAGATACTAGAACTAGTATTAATTTTTAGGATTGATAAAATAATCAGATATATCACTTTAATAGCTTATTACAATTTCTAACAATGAACACTCAGGAATTACTAGTATTCTCAAATTCATTCATTTTAGCCTTAAACTGTAGCTATAAACGATTTATTTTACAAGTTCTTCCAGAGGACGTGTGAATATTGTACATATCAAAATCATAAGCCAAATAGATAATTCCAGAGGAATTTGTCCTCATACATAGTCACATGTACTGATGTATTGGTAAAAATGTCTGGGTCCCCTTAAGGCCTGACAGAAATTTATAAATATAGAGAACTCAGACTCTGTCCAAAACATGACACATTTTATGGGAGGAGAAAAATTAACTTTGTAATAAGAAGCTGTAGTACAGAGATTTTAAAGTATTTAAATTTTGGAAGATATTTGCTCTTTGCTAAATATATCATTTAAAAATATTATTTTGATCTTTTCCTACAGAAAATGGGTATTCCAGCAAAATTGATTGTTTGTGGAATGACATCAAATGGTTTTACCATTGCAGACCCAGATGATCGAGGCATGTTGGATATGTGTGGTTTTGATACTGGAGCTCTGGATGTAATTAGAAATTTCACATTGGATGTGATTTAACCATAAACACCAGCATGATCTAAGAGGTCCATTGCCTTCAGTGGATCTTACTGAAAATACACTGCTACTTCCCAGCTTATCTTAATCCAGTGAAAGATAATAATAGCATGTGTATGATAGAAAGTTATTTCACCCCTCTCTCCACTCCCCTCCCAAAAAATGGAAGAAGAAAAAAGTTAAGAATGAACCTCAACTTTTGTCTACTAAACTGTCTCTTGCAAAATAGCATCTGAATACACATTAGCTTCCTCTATCTAAGAGAGAGGACTTCTTGTTGATAGACACTGTAAAATAAAACAGTAGAATAGTTATTATTTCTTTGGGGAATAATAACATTTGTACTTAAGAGGTCAGAGCCAAAAGTGTACGTAGTTCATATCATGACACTAACAGTTTGTTTGAGAAGTTTTCTTAAATATTTCATTGGGTAAGGACAGCTTTGATAATTTCCAAATACTCTGAAATGCACTAGACCACGTAACTGTGATGGAATATAAAAATCATCTGTAAACTTGCAAACTGAAAAAGGAAAATGCTAAGACATTTGATTTAATTTTGAATTCATTTTTACCAATTCTTTTCAGAGTCTTCTAAGATAACATAAATAACAACTTTCTTACTCACTGATGTTTTTGTTTTTAATGAGAAGAGACTGAAGTTTGTGTGTGCCTATAGGAAGCCAGTTTGATTTGGTTTTTTGTTTTGTTTTGTTTTATTACCATGAGTGAGTGTTGTGACTTGACAGTGTGTTTCTCTAAATTACAACACAGGCACTTGTACTCATGTTTCCTTTTTTCATCCTCTTAAGTGAGACTTAAATACTCAAGTATTTAACTGTCCCACTTACAATGTTAGAAGTAGAACGATCAAGATTTCAACTATAACCACATTAACTATTTACTTAAAATTTTTTTCAACTTTTTTTTTGTTGTTGCCAGTTATAAATTGGTTTTAGATATTTTCTAATTATAAAAATGTCAGTGACCTCCTAACTTTGTGTCCAGTAGTCATTTTGTGGTAATCATTTCTTAAGCAGTTTAAAATATGACACTAGATTTATTACTATTATAGTAAAGATATAGATAGATAACCCAACCAACATTTGTCAGGTCAACATTTTTACATGTACAGTTGTGTGAAATAAATTAGTAGGCATTCTTTTTTGATAGTGGAAAAAATAATAAAGCAAGCTAGAATTCTTAAAAAAGGTTTGAAAGGCAATTTTTGAATAGTGTATTACCACCAAGCAGTCTTTTAAGAAAAAAAAATTTTAATTACTGTAAACTTCCTTTCATTACACTAAACACATTATTTACTTGAGCAAGTGTCTCTTGTTTATAGGTTTAATATTAAAACAACCTGTTGAAATGACAAAATTGTTACTCAATTTTATCTTGGTTGTCAAAGAAAGCTTACACATATCCTTTGCAAAATTTGTAGTCATTGTTCTTTAAATATTGAGACTTTCCTGTGGGTTTTTTAAAGCCCCTCTTAGCATTATATGAAAAGTCAAACTGACAAATGTTTATAATAGCCTTTCACATGTTTGTGGCTTAGAACTTTTAAATTTTGGGGGGAAGGGGAACTTTGGTAGTATTAGAGTTTGTGTAGATACTTTCCTCTGTTTCATGCATAATTGGTGCTCTTGGAGTGATAAAGAAAATGTTCCTTTCAAAGTCTTAGTTGACATATCAATTCTGGCTCTGATATGTAGCCATTCCTTCAGGGGAAACTGGTAGCAGTTTTTCAATGTTGGTATTTGCTTGGGGTTATTTTTGGTCAGCAAAGCTGGTAATTTGGGGGGGGGGGAATACAATGCTTTTTATTATTGTTGGGTATATGGTAGATTTGAAAATACTGTTTTTAACCCCTGGTCAAGCATTGAATTTAACATGTTAGCTACTTTTGATACATTAAAATAGCCTTTCTGATTGAATTTAAATGTATAGAACCTAATTGAATTGTGTAATACCTTTTGAATTCTTTAAGTAAACTCAAGGTTTTCTTAAATTTAAAATTATAATCTTTTTATTCCTAATAGAAATATTAATATAGTATAAAAGTTTATTTCCTTCCATTAGGTACTATTTCTGTAGTACGTTTATACAACTATATCTAGGAGTTAATACTAAATCCATCAGAGAAATAAAATTAGATGTGACATTTTTTAAGCGTTTGGCACAAGACTGGGCAGTGTTTTATTCTGTTGTGCATGGGTCGATTTGAGTCAGAATCGACTCAACAGCACCTAACAATAATTAAATGAATTAGCTTTGTGATTTTAAAAAAGAAAGCACAAAAAATAAAAATATTAAAGGAAACTAACGCAGAAGTTACAAACAATGTCTGTCCCTAAGTGTGTCTTTCAAGACCAATTTCTATGTTAAGTCAATTTGTATTTAGCCTTATTTTAGTACAAGAAAAAGCTTCAGACCTTTCAGTGATTTAAAAACTGCAGATACAGCAAGTGAAGGTGATTGTGGTAAAGAATTTGTTGCAACTCGGGATCAGTTCATTTATTTCAGAGTGAGGGCAAATTTACATAATATTATAGGTCAAGTGTAAGTTGTACATAAGTCAGAAATTCATAAACCAAGAACCTGTTATTTTTAAATCAGAATTTTTGTGGTAGGAAAAAAAACTTAGAAATTTATTAGTTAAATATAAATTTTGATTAAAGATCCAAGGTCCAACAGAGAGCGAGCATGACTTTGGAGTACTAGACTTAGAAAACTCTTTTTATTAGTTTTGTTTTGCATTGCATTCCAGTATTTTATTTTCCCAAATCATAGGAATACTGGCTCTAAAGTTTAAAAGATGAAATAGGAGTTTTCAAGACTTTTCTCTTATTTAGATATTTTAAAGCATTGTATATACATAATTGTTTTAAAATTAGAGAAATGGAGATTATGAACAATATACTTACATAACTCATAGTAATCCTCAAGCACAGTTAATGTTTATTTAATAGCCTGTGTTGATATATAGCTTAATCCTATAGAGAAAATAAAGAACTTTACCTCATCATAAATGAAATTTACTCAGTTGGTAAAGAAGTTTTATTTTCTGAATTACGTTTAGGATTTCTGTTACATTCATATTTCGGAAAATGTTGCTTTTAAAAACAATCCTAATGTAGCAACAGTAATAACCAAAAATATATAGGTTGTTACATAAATAAGAGTGCACGCTTCTATGTCTCTAGGAAAGCATATGTGAGCATATCATAAGTAGATATGTTGTTGTTATTATTAAGTGACGATGAGTTGGTTCTGACTCATAACAACCCTGTATAGGGTTTCCGAAGAGTGACTGGTGGGTTTGAAGTAGTGACCTTGTGGTTAGCAGTCTAGTGCGTATATTTACAGCACCACACCAGGACTCCATATGTAGATATAGATGTATCTATTGTACATGATGTCGTGATGTCGAGTTTGTTTCTACTCATAGCAACTCTATAGGATTTCCAAGGAGTGGCTGGTGAGTTTGAACTGCTGGCCTTGTGGTTCACCCGACCTTGCAATCTACTACTTTATCTGACAGCAGGACAGGCATATGTAAATACATGTTTTTAATGTGTTACATGTATATCCACAGTGGTGGTGTCCATGGAGTCAGTTCTGACTCACAGCAACCCTGCATAGGGTTTCTGAGGCTATAAATCTGTATAGAAGCAGAAAGCCTCATCATTCTCCCATAGAACAGCTGGTAGTTTCGAACTGCTGACCTTCAGGTTAGCAGCCCAACTCGTACCCATAAATACAATAAGACATATAAAGGACACTTACAGAGACTTCCTAGCCATATCCAAACACGTAGAATTGGTTTATTGGATTGACGGGCATAGGATCATAATCTTATGGGATAAGTTAGTTAATTGGCATCACATAGTTAATAAAAGTTAATGTACTACACCTTCGTTTAGTGAGTAGCGTCTAAGATCTTAAAAGCTTATGGGTGGCTATCTAAGATACAACTTTTGGTGTCTACTCATTTGGAATAAAAGAATGAAGGAAACCAAAGAAGAAAGTAGCCCACAGAACTACTACCCCACAAGAACTAAAGCCTCTACAATCTGAGAACAGAAGAGCTAAGTGGTGCCCAGCTACCACTACCAACCAATCTGAACAGGGACACTGTTGTTAAAGTGCTGTTGAGTTAGTTACAACCCATTGCGACCCTGTATAGGGTTTCCAAGGAGTGGCTGGTGAGCTTGAACTGTCAACTTTGCGGTTCAAACTGACTTTGCAGTTCAGCATACAAACCCACAGTGCCACACGGGGACTTCAGGAACACAATGTTAAGTGCTGTTGAGTCGGTTCCAACTCAGCAACACTGTATAGGGTTTCCTAGGAGCAGCTGGTATGCTTGAACCACCAACCTTGCAATTCAAATGACCTGGCAATCCAGCACATCAACCCACAGTGCCACACCAAGACTGCTGCCAAGGACACGGTAGAGTGTCCCAACTGGAATGGAGGGAAATCTAGAATAAAACTTAAAATGCCTAATAAAAAAAACAGGTTACAGCACTGATAGAAACTGAAGGAACTTTCACCCTAAGATAATATTTCAGTGGCTTTAACGGAAACCATCTTGAAGTTCACCTTTCAGTTAGTAGATTGTGTTATAAAAGAAACTATCACCTGTGAATGATGTGTCCCTTAAACATTTAAGTATATGACACCAAACAGTCAACATTTATCCAAAGGCAAAGATGGGAAGGGGAAATTGTAACCAATGACAGCAAAAAATTTTGAGTAGAAACTTAATTGGCTAAGTACACTTTCATCTAAAAAATAAATGCAACCTTTGGATAAAAACTGCATGTAAAAATGAAATTAAACTAATAAAAACAGTAATTTATAAACACAGTCCTAAGAAAAACAACCATATGCTAGGTGGCATGTAAATATTTTCAGGAGATAGTTACAACTAGCAAAACAAAACTAATAAAACCTCACTTATTAGTTGAAATTCCTTAGAATTTACATTAGTGA